TCGGCAATTATATGATATATTTATAAGAAAATTTCCCGTTTTATGTACTCGCGCACTCCTGCCTCAGCAGCTAAGCTGCCTCGGCAATTATATAAGAGATTTATAATAAGAAATACTTCCAGTTTTGTGTACTTACTATCCTGCCTCAGCAGCTAAGCTGCTTCGGCTATTACATAATACGTTTATAACAAAGAAAAATTCCGTTTTTGAAGTAAATTGCGCTCTTGCCTCAGCAGCTTAGCTGCTTCGGCAATTATATGATATATTTATAAGAAAATTTCCCATTTATGTATTCACGCACTCCTGCCTCAGCAGCTAAGCTGCCTCGGCAATTATATAATACGTTTATAACGAAGAAAAGTTCCGTTTTTGAAGTAAATTGCGCTCTTACCTCAGCAGCTTAGCTGCTTCGGCAATTATATGATACATTTATAAGAAAATTTCCCGTTTTATGTATTCACGCACTCCTGCCTCAGCAGCTAAGCTGCCTCGGAAATTATATAAGAGATTCATAATAAGGAAAACTTGCAGTTTTGTGTACTCGCTTTCCTGCCTCAGCAGCTAAGCTGCTTCGGTAATTGTATAATTTATTTATAAGAAAATTTTCCGTTTTATGTACTCACGCACTCCTGCCTCAGCAGCTAAGCTGCCTCGGCAATTATATAAGAGATTTATAATAAAGAATACTTTCAGTTTTGTGTACTCATTATCCTGCCTCAGCAGCTAAGCTGCTTCGGCTATTACATAATACGTTTATAACGAAGAAAAGTTCCGTTTTTGAAGTAAATTGCGCTCTTGCCTCAACAGCTTAGCTGTTTCGGCAATTATATGATATATTTATAAGAAAATATCTCGTTTTATGTACCCGCGAACTCCTGCCTCAGCAGCTAAGCTGCCTCGGCAATTATATGATACGTTTATAACGAAGAAAAGTTCCGTTTTTGAAGTAAATTGCGCTCTTGCCTCAGCAGCTTAGCTGCTTCGGCAATTATATAATATATAAATTTAAGAAAATTTTCCGTTTTATGTACTCGCGAACTCCTGCCTCAGCAGCTAAGCTGCCTCAGCAATTATATAAAAGATTTATAATAAGGAAAACTTCTAGTTTTGTGTACTCACTCTCCTGCCTCAGCAGCTTTTTGGCAATTATATGATATATTTATAATGAAGAAAACTTCCGCTTTTTGAAGTAAATCCTCTTGTCTCAGCAGCTTCAATTTTGTCCATTATATCAAGGTTTTACTATATTAATTAATTAATTAACCTGGAATTAAAATTTCTTTATGCCCCCAATAATATTTCTGCTTATGATCCCCAGTAAATGGATAAATAATAGCAACAACGCTCGGTTCAATTCTTCTGCAAACAAAATCAAAGTCCAACATGCTTTGAACAGCTCGAGTTTGCATCCCCCAAACGATTGCTTTCGTGGTCGCTGAGAACATGGGAAGTTTCCTCGATGCGTCGCCCTAAAAAATGAGGTGATTTTTTTAATGAAATCTTGATTTGATTGATGATTAAGATTAGATTAATTCAATTTTAATTACAGTGACGAACCAAAATTGATTTGTTTACCTCTGAGACTTCCTCGATCATCCTAACTTCGCAATTTGTTCCTTGGTCCTTAAAAAATTTTGATAATTTCGCATAAAAAACTTTAAATTTGTCAAATTAATTGATTAATAAAAAAAAATAATAATAACCGAGGAAAAAATTAGTTAATATGTACAAAAAAGAAAAAGGTATTAATAAAAAAAAAGAACCAAAGAACACCAAAGTTAAAAAAACACTCAAAATTATAAATAAACTTACAGCTTGGTTAGTTCGAAAAACTTTATCCGTTTCAGATTTTTCGTTCTCAAAAGCCAGGTTGTTCGCCGATCCAGATTGGCTCGGAAGCAAAAAATTGGCTGTTGTGGTCTCGTGACTGACCGAACTTTCAATTGGAATCGGTTTTTTACCGAGAGCCATTCCGCAAATAGCCGTCATGTGGGTTTCAGGGCCGAAAACGTATAAAGGAATACCTAAAAAAAATTTATTCCAAATTAAACCACTTAAGATAAAAAGAATTGATTAATTTTTATCAACCTAACGTTTGTCCAACTTCTCGCATTCGTCTCAAACCCTCTTGATAATTCGGGCCGGCTCTCCGAACGAAAATCGATATCTTGTGCTCGATTAATCGGTGTTGGTATTCGCGTAACGCGGTGATGATACCCCTGAAAGTGTCCGCGACGTTGGTGAAGTTGGCAATTCCGCCCCCGATGATTAAAACTTTCCCATCTGGGTGTTTCTCTTGAACCATGAGTGATAAAATCGTTTTTGCGTATTCGTACGTTTGTTGTTCGGATGGGGCGCCTAAAAATTTGTTTAATATTATTAAATTTCGTGGAATTCATAAGATATATGTGTTTTGTGGTCAAAAAGAAACTCTAGATTTCATACAAAGACTTAGTATAGTAGAAGAAAATAATGAATAAGAACAAAACGTTTTTAAAGAAATAAAAATGGTTCTAATAATTACAAAAAAGAATGTAACAATTCAAATAATCTTATAAAAAAAATAGAGAAAAAGGTAATGCAGGTTTTGTGTAAAACTAGAGCTAACACTAGACCGAGAACTAGAAACATTCCAGTTTAAAATGTCAACCTCAATTTTGACATATTTGTAATCTTCATTAAAAATCCTTTAAAATGAGTACAAACACGACATATTTATCTTCAATATTAATGAAGTTATGGTCAACTTCCTGTTTGAAATGTCAACGTCACTTTGACATATTCTTAATTTTTATAAAATGTCTCAAAATTTATCACAAAAACAAAAATATAATAAAAAAAATCAAAAATTAAGGTTGGTATTAATATTTAAAAATTAAATTTCTAACTTCATTGTTGCTAACTTCAGGTTTAATGTTTTTTGAGTCTAACTTTTTAGTTTTTTGAGATAAGTGCGTCATGTTGCGACTCATTTTAAAGGTTTTTTAATAAAAAATACATCAGGAAGGAACACCATGAAGTTGTCGATTTGTCTATTATATGAGAATTACCTTCAGGTTTAAAATGTCAACCTCGATTTTGACATATTTATAATCTGCGTTAAAAATCCTTTAAAATAAGTACAAACACGACATATTTATCTTCAATATTAACGAAGTTATGGTACACTTCCGGTTTGAAATGTCAACGTCATTTTGACATATTCTTAATTTTTATAAAATATCTCAAAATTTATCACGAAAACAAAAATATAATAAAAAAAATCAAAAATTAAGGTTGGTATTAATATTTAAAAATTAAATTTCTAACTTCATTGTTGCTAACTTCGCGTTTAGTGCTTTTTTAGTATAACTTTTTTGTTTTTTGAGATAAGTGCGTCATGTTTGGACTCATTTTAAAGGTTTTTTAATAAAGAATACATCAGGAAGGAACACCATGAAGTTGTCCATTTGTCTATTATATGAGAATTAACTTCAGGTTTAAAATGCCAACCTCAATTTTGACATATTTATAATCTGCGTTAAAAATCCTTTAAAATAAGTACAAACACGACATATTTATCTTCAATATTAATGAAGTTATGGTAAACTTCCGGTT